AAACAGGGAATGAAAGAGGCATTACTATTAAGCTTAGATTATTGAAAATATCTGCTGTAAGGACATGTGATTGTAGTGTGCCTTCAGCTAATGGGATAGATATTGTTTTAGTGTTTACAACATTTTCTTACCCGCATCTTGTTATGTGATCTTAATGATGGGTGAAGTGCAAATTATGTACATACATTTTATTACTTTGTGCTGCAAAGTGGAGACTTGTTTAGTAATTTGAGATCCAGTTCTCAAATGATATAAAGTAGATATTCTGGAGTATGTTTGTAATAATCGTGTCTGTGTGCCAGTATTGGAATGAGAATTTTCATCTTTTAAAGAAAATCTGTAAGAGTTTTTAGAAAAAACAATCAGAAAACGAAATAATAAGGACTTGAAAAAAGACTCTTCAGTATTCATTAAAAAAATGGAATTTGTGTTTTTTAAGTTTTTAACTTTGAGAAATATTTGAGGATAAAGTTGCTTGCTTCTGCAGTATCTTTTAGGTTAATGAAGGAAAGTAATGTTCATGCATATTTACTGAATCACTATTGAAAATCATGGATGACAATGAATACACTCTTTCTTTGCATGTTCAGTTATGACCTTATTTAATTTTAACTCATAATTGATTGACCACCTACTTGTTTCTTATTTGATTTTTGATATGTATACATAAGTGTACTTTTTTCTTGGCCATGGATAAAATTACACTACAGGATAAATGAAAAAGAAAAGGGGAGATGAAGAGAGGCAGAATGAGTGAAAGATGGAGAGTAGAAAAGGTGGTTGGGTTAAAGAGGGAGAAAAATCATTAAGCCAAGAAAAAAGTGAGGAGGAGCACAGTGATGACGAGGAGTAGGTTGGAGGTAGAGGTGGAGGTTCCTGTAAACTGAGTGATTAATTTGAGGCTCTGACCCTAAATTTTTATTATATTTTGTTTTTTGTTTTTGAAGCATATTTTGTGAAAGAAAAAAAAATGAGAGCCTGATGACAACTTATGTAAAAGAAGAAGAAAAATATGATCTGCTAACCCTGTTTATTTTTGCTACATAACTGGATCCTCAGCTTTTTTTCTTTTTTTTCTATCGTTCTTTTACTTTGCCTTATCTACCGAACATTTTCCACACCTGCTGCTCACACGGTAACTGGCACGATACCTGCTGAGTACCACAAATCATGCTGTTATCATTAGGTTAGTTTGTCTTGCCACAACATAGATAAAAGATTACTCAAACTGCAGCAGTCATGGGGACCATGAAAATGTCCCTTGATTAATTCTAAAGCCCAGGTTCTACTGCTTAGGCTCAGCTCTGGTTCCTGAACAACCTCTATTTGCCTATCCTCTCATTTTGTATGCAATATAATAATGCTTCCCCAGGCCTTGCATGTCTAGGTTGGCTTCAAGGATTTTTAGTGATATAATGTCATGATGATGCAGGACACGTTACTAAAACAATCATATAGTATCAGTCCCCCTTGCTTAGAAAAAATTGGCAGGATCTGGACAAGGGATGCTCTAGGTATGTCTTGCTTCATTTCCTAGATAGCATTGACCTGAATCTGGTTCCCAATATGGTATGATAAAACTGTATAATGCTGATCTTTTTTCATTTGTTGTGTTGTCTTTTGTTGATGTTGCATTTTATTCTCTCCTTCAGTCTCTCTTTTTCCCTTTAGATTAGGCTAGTGAAGCCCCAGCTTGAGCGAGTTAATATCTGTTAATGGATATTCAAACACTATTATATAGTGTTATATAGAAATTCTGTATGTAAAAGGAGCTGCATAAGGCCTATATCCTCTGAATTTTGATATCTGGATCATTGCTGTTGATTTAAATACACAATGTTTAGTAAGGTTTCTCACACTTTGTGCATGAAGTACCTAAACATTTGATTGATGAATTGTAATGTGTACTTTTGTTATGATACTATACGGTCAAGGAAATACCTTTTACACAAGACTTTAGTGTGGAAACAATTATGGAAACTGTTTTTCTTCTTTACAGCGATAACGACTGATAATAGATAACAATATATTTTTCAGAAAAAAAGTGTACAATGTCCTGAATGAAACACTACATCGTGACCCTTGGGCAAGTGGACGCTACCTGATATCACTCCTTTGGGATGCTCATGGCTACATCTGGCATGGTGAGTTCGCTATAGACAGAGAAGGAATGAGGGAGAAAAGTGGTGGAGGTAGGAGGCAATGGTAGTGGGAGGGTTGAGGTGGAGGGAAGTGGGAGAGGGTGAGAGTAAGGGAGAAGGAGAGGAAGATGGAGAGGAAGAGGGAGAGAGAGGGAGGAAGGGAGGGAGGGAAGGAGAGAGGGAGGGAGGCCTGCTAAGGTTGCATGTGCACTTTTCAGTTCAAAAAGTGCATGGGGCATTTTAAGTGCACTCTTTTTATAAACTTTCTGGTTTAAGAGTGCAATTTTACTTCAGCACCTCTTAGGGAAAAAGTTTTCATTTTTTCAAGGTGCGACATGGCTGTGAAGGTGCAAAGACCA